GGCCCCTTCAGTTTGCAGGTCTGGCGGATGTGTCGATCTCCGAAGACATCCCGGTGGAAGGGGAGATCACCGTTCCCGTGGGAGCGCGCTCTCCCGACGAGGACTTCTCCACGCTGGATGAGCCCGTTAAGGACACTATTGTGAGTCTGTGTCTCTTTCGGGGGTAAAACAGCTGTTTTGCTGCCAGCTTGGGCCGACTGCTATGTAAAAACTGGTTTGTTTGTTTTTTCGTCTAGCTGTGCTTGACTTGTATTGCATCTCAAGCTTGGGGAATTTTATTTTTATTTTTGTAAAACTAACCGTGTCAAATGACTTCTTGTGGGTCAGCAAAGGTCTGAACTCTGGCCACAAAACTTCTCTGTGATCCTGAAATCTTTGCAAGGGTAAAGGCCTCAGGTGGAGCTTGGGAGAAAGCTCTACTGACTAATAGGAGTTTTCATTAACGTTCTTTTTCTAGAGAAGCAAACAAATGATTGTTCTTAATTGGTTTCTGATTAAAAGATAAAATATTGTAATTGCTAAAGCATGTAGCAGAAGCAGGTGCTGTTTGTTACAGAGGATGCTGCAGAAATTCCTGGGTTGGATTGTATCTTGATTTATGGTCAATACTCTTTTATTTCTGCCTTGCTTTGGGTTGTGGAATGTTGTTTTCATTAAGGGGTAAATTAAGGTGTTACTTCCTTGTTTCAGGTGAGGGACCTGAAGGCTGTTGGGAAGAAATTTGTCCATGTCATGTACCCCAGGAAGAGCAGTGCCCTCCTCAGAGACTGTGCGTATCAGAAGAGCCTCAAGCCCCTGAGAAGAGTGTTTTGGCAGCAGACTGTGCTCACCTGGGAAAGGGAGGAGCTGGGTGGAACAGGGGTTCAGAGGCATCTGTTCTGGTCCTTGTAGAGTGCTGAATAGCAACCCTGGGGAATGAGAGTGTTACCAAAGCTGTTTGGCAGTGGAAGGTGTGCCAGAAGATGTAGAACTCCTGAAGAACCTTTAACAGTTGTCAGGCTCTGAGCAGGTTATATTCTGGAATGTGGCAGGTAAGGTGAATAGCAAAGTGATAAGGAAATGTGGGGTGCAGAATGATGCATCAGGAATTGGAAAAGGTGCTTTCATGTCTTCAGGAAAACAAAACTGAGCCTCATTCCATGATATTTACAGTTTGTGTTTTCCCTTTACCTGCAGGGGATCTTTGGGGCCCTTTGGTGCTTTGTGTCTCACTTGCACTGTAAGTACCTGAGAGTGGGTGGGGTTGGGTTTTTATAGTCTTTTATACCAGAGAAAAGAGAAATTGAAAATTCCTGATGGCATGTGTGGGGGTCCAGTCAACCTGAGCCTTCTGAAGTCCTTGGGTTTTCATGTAGGGTGTGTCTGTGACACTCCCAGCCCAGGGCCTCCTGTCGCTGAGCTTAGGAGTGTGAGCTCTTGTGGTCCCCTGTCCTGAGAGTGACCTCACTGAAAGGTGTCCTGGTTCCTGTTGTCCTCCATCCTGATGTGTTTGGCCAACTTTGCTCACACCTGCAGGCCAGAGCCTTTGTCTGAGAGCTGCAGTGTGTGTGCTGCTTGTCCTGGAGAGGAGCTGGGGAAAGAGCCTGATGTAGAGATAATGGGTGGGAGGTGATGGTGGCTTCCAGGGGCTTCTGCTGCTCCACCATGTTGCTTGTATCCTGTAATTCTTGGAAGCCTTCCTTCCAGTTTGTGTGTTTCCTCATGCACTACACTGCCTGCTTTGAGAGGTCACCAAACTTCTGCTTCAGCTGTCATCCTCTAGCCTGTGGTTTTGTTCTCTCTGTGTGCTTACATGGCTCAAAACGAGTGAACCTGAGATGCCCTGAGCTGAGCCACAGCCACTTTCCCTGCCCGTGCAGAGCTGAGGGCACTGCCCACCACAGGGGAGGTGCTGGAGGCTTGTGGGTCTGCAGCCTGCCTGGGGATCCGTGTTCTGGGCTGTGTCTCCTCTGCTCCAGGTTCACAGCAGCTCAGCCCCGGGTGGCAAACGCCTCCTCTTGTCTGTCCTCCCCACAGGATGCTCCAGGGAGGGTCAGCAGACAGTAAAGACGACGGGGGGCCCCAGTTTGCTGAGGTCTTTGTCATCATCTGGTTTGGAGCTGTGGTGATCACACTGAACTCGAAGCTCCTGGGGGGAACCATGTGAGTGCTGCTCAGCCCCCCACCCACAGCAGCTCCCCCCTGCCGTGACTGCTCTGCCCCACCTCTGCCTCTCCCTTCCAGATCCTTCTTCCAGAGCCTGTGTGTGCTGGGTTACTGTGTCCTGCCCCTCACCGTGGCCATGCTGGTGTGCAGGCTGGTGCTGCTGGCAGGCTCGGGGACCATCAGCTTCATCGTGCGCCTGCTGGTGGTGCTGGCCATGTTTGGGTGGTCCACCCTGGGTGAGTGCCCCTTGCCCTGCCCCAGGGGCAGCTCTGCACCTCCTCTGCTGGCTGTTAGAGTGTCAGGGGTCTGGTGTGTAGGTGTCTGCTGTGCTGCTGAGGTGTTGTGGAGATGGTCCTGCCAGTCCCTGTGCTGGCAGAGGTTCTGCCTCTGCTCCCGTTGATGGCCGTGGTCCTGGGCAGGGAGCCTTTGGCAGGAGGGTCATCATTTAGTGTTGAACCCCCCTGGGACTGCTGGGTGTCTTGTGCTGGGATTTGCATTATAGGTACTGCTAGAAAATGCTGATTTTACACAGATGCATTTGCATTATTTCCCCTATTCTTCACCTGCAAGCCTGCCTCTTGTTACGGACTGTTAACCAGCATCTCTCTGTCCAAGAGAGAAAGTTCTGGCTGGTGAGGACAGACCATTGGTACTGAGCAGGGGGTTGTGCTGCTTCCTCTTCCAACAAAATGGTTGTGCAGCTCCTAAGTCAAATGTTTTTGCCATCTAGAAGGACCTCAGACTTCATGCTGCTCAGGTCTCAAGTGTTGTTCTTTTCCACCAGCCTCTACAGCCTTCCTGGCAGACAGTCAGCCTCCGAGCCGCAGAGCCCTCGTGGTGTACCCCATCTTCCTCTTCTACTTTGTCATCAGCTGGATGATTCTCACCTTCACGCCGCAGTGACCCCCGGGACTGTGCAGTGTGGGCTGCAGGTGTGCTCCAGTGCTGCTGCAGCTCACCGTGGGCTTTGGCTCCT